GTCGTGTGTAAACATTTTCTAATAGGATTATGTTGATTTTTCTTATGGGCTGATGACCCGAAATGTGCTCTTGAAAATGGGAGTCAAGCGAGGCCTAGATTTTCTACGGCTCTGGCGTTGTACCGGATTTTCTCAGAGTCCCAGGACTGGTACCTGTTGGCTACTGGTAGCCTTGAAAGCCAATGGACTATAGGTAATCTAGACCTCCTGTAAATAGGATATAGAATAGCCTAAATGCTTTATTTACTAAAATTTTGAACTCGTTCTCATGTATTTTGAGCGAATAGTGAATTTTTTAATATTAGGTGAAAACTGTCTGAAAATCGCAGCTTTCGTAAAACTGTGGTTTATAAAATAAATTAAAATTTATGAGCATTTTAACTAGATTTTCATTTTGATGCCAACCTGTAGTCTAAAGCCATCCTCAGAATCGCCTTTTTTCCAGAAGAGATGAAGCTTTTCTCTTTTTAAAAATGAAAACTTCATCCAATCGAGCTGAAACTTTTTGTAGATACTTGATGCAAATCGGTGTGACTGTATTCTTCGTTTTGTTTTTATCATTCCTTAGTCTTTGAAAAAAATTTGGAAAACTTGGATTAAGGAAAAAAGTTCTGCTTTTAAATATACCTGTTGTATTTCTTTTTCCTGCCGAACGAATGCATTTTAAAAAATAAAACGAGGAATATAAACATCCCGGTTTGCATCTAGTATCTATAGTAAACTTTTATCTCAATCGGATAAGATTTCGGTTTTTATTGGTAAACAAAACATAATATCATTTTTTGACGCGTGCGGAATTTTTTTACTATGCAGATGCTTTCTGAAAATTTTTTACTTGGAATAAAGTGTCCTTAAGCTACGTATTTGGATACAGTTTTCCAAGCTCTATCTATTGGTATATTTGAAAATGCAAGAAAAAGAAAGTTAGGTTAAAGTTAGGTAGAAAGTTTGAAAAAATTCAATGAGGAAAATGACGCTTTCATATTCGAAGGTTTTGTGAACATTGAGATCGAAGTTTCTCAAAGTAAAGGAGTCTGTCACATCTGTAAGCCCGTTTTGCGCTTTCGAATGTTGTCTTTGTAAGCGGTATTCAATCCTCTCCTATATTAGTCACATAGAATGAAAAAAAGCCACAGCATTACGGATAGCTTCCTGACATTGTCAAACCTACTTTTTAAAGGAGACTTTCAAAAAAGTTGAGTTTTTTCATAGCTCTCGATTCAAAAATCGAAATCTTTCTTCAAGTGCAGTCACAAAGAATATTCTCAATGATATCAAGAATGTTAAACGAGTTAGCATTTTATTTAACTTTAATCAATTCCAAGCTTAGTCTAGCAAGGGTTGTCAAAATTTCGAGTTGAGTGCGTCTGTTATGCATATGAAAAAGTTCCATTTTCAGCAAAAGTTCTCTATAGTCCATTTAACAGTAATGATATTTCAATGTTGCTAACTCAGAAGCTTTTCAAAAAATAAAACCTTTCGTAAGACCTCAAACCTTGAAAACTCAAAGGAAGAACTGTTGTCTATTATGTACGCAGAAACGCTTTAATGATTGCCACGAATTATTGTCGTGAAAAAAGATAGAAAGATCATGTACACTTGCTAATTATCCGTTCCTTATATGGCTACAGTCGGGAAGTAAAGATTTTGTGTTTTCAGAAGTGTTCGTGGGTCTTCAGCTCGTTCAATACAACTGGACTAAGTAATTTTTGTGCACAATCGGTCGTGATCAACGTGGCGACCTCCGAAAGGAATTGGAAGTTTACGCTTGAATATGCGCTTTATTTCGAGGAAATATGGAACAAATAAAAAGGATAACCTGATTGAAATATTGCAGTGTCATAGTGTTTCATCGAACGAGACGAACGTCTAGTTATAATTTTGACAACTGAGCGTACCCACATTAACGTCTTCTCCATTGACAACAGCTCCTGTGTTAAAGAGTGTTGGTCCTAACGATATACCTGCGACACTGCTGGTGACGATCAATTGTCCAACTTTGCTAGGAACAGTAGTACACATACACTAGTCTGCCTTGTATAAACGTGTACAGAGGCCTGTAACACGTGGAGACCAGACTTCGAACATGTTGTCGGGTGAAGGTAAGGCTACGAGCGTGATATAGGATTGGTTTTGACAAAGTGCATTACAGGCCATTCCCGGATCTGTTGAACCTGAACAACAGGACAGGACAGGAACAATTGTTATTCAATAGCTGCGAAGAAAATGGTTATTCAAAAAAAACCTTACCAGTTTAGCCTAAATTTTTTATTTTAGGACAGGATACCCGATTATACGGAGGGTCGCTTGCAAAAGTCTACGATATCACATATGCTAATAGCGAGACCTCGTTTTTCCCCGTAGAGACAACCGAACTATGCATCATTACAACTGTTTTTTCTTTTGAAGAGTAAAAATAAAAATAATTGATTAAAATCGCCCACCGAGTCCCACAAAGGTTGTACTTTGGACATAGCTAAAGCAAGGTATAAATGATGCAGCTAGAATACAAATATCTTTTTATTTACTTACTTTTCCCTTTCCCTCTCTCTCTTTCTTGTGTTTTCTCCTTCTGTTTCATCTTGGCCTAATTAACCAACCGAGCAGAGCTGAGCGAGTCCGAGTCATTAAAAATCCATTCTGAGTCCGAGTCCGAGTCCTGAGTCCATTTCGAGTCCGGTAATCGTTTATATAACAGCTCTACATGATAGACATAAAGTCATATGTTTAATTTCTACTGTGTAGTTCAATTCAGATTATTATTATGCACTTAAAACAAGCTGCTGTAGTAGTTAAACTTTTTAGAGAGAGTAATGTTTTTAATCTATATCTCATTGAACTGAGAACAATAAAAATAGTCAGATCTTGCGGAATATTGCAAAATTCTGAAGGATCCTACTGTACGATTTTATATGATTTTCGGTTGGTTGCTGTAGCTGTTGTGTGTCACTACCCCTCACCCTTTTTTGTCTGTCTCCATGCCAAATCCGTTCACCTTCGATCTTTTGAATGTGTTTTTATTCGCTAATACCTGAAACATTACATGCAAATCACAGTTCATCCCACAGTAACAGAAAATTTAAACTTAAATAGGTTTATTGTTTTTATTTGTTTAATTATTCTCTGATCCCAGTCAGCCAGAATCAGGTGATTCTGAGCTGGGATAAGCACTTACACGTCGTTGAACAGTAGTGAGTTTCGGTGGCTCACAGTATTCGGCGTGAAAATTTAAGCCTAAAAAAATATTTCATTTTCTACACTAGAGTTGTATTTATATTAGAGTTACTACAAAACATGTTGATAATTGTATTTATAAAGAAAAGAAAATATTTACAGAAGGAAAAAACAGGAATTCTACACAAAATCTTACCGTAGGATTTTGTAAGAAACGCATAAGATTTCTATTATAGAAATTCCATCGGTTTTTTGCTACTATCGTATCTCAAAAATCCTACGAAAGTCCTGCCGTAAGATTTCATAGAATCCCACAACAGGAATCCTATGAAATTCTATTACCAGTACGATCCTAGTAGGATAGCTTGACCTGGGTTATAACTGGCAATAAGCTCATCGAGCTTATTTTAGATATATGCTGTATACTGGAAATAGTGATTTCTGAAACATTTTGAATATATATCATCCTATAATATAGTGCATTATATGATAACAATAATACTCTACGCAGAGTGATAGATGTCAGAAGTTGCTCTCTATATATTATTCTTTAAATTCTGTTGCATGAAGAAGATATTTTCTATTGCTAATTTGACATTTCACAAATTGAATCTTTTAATGCGATAAGATCTGAAGTTACTATGGGAGTAGTAACGGCTGAGAACAATTTGAAAAGTTTTAATCCTAGTTGTACTAAGCATCGGTGTTTCTGTATGATGTAACTATCATAAAGCTGCGCTAAATGCATCAATACAAAAGGTAGAGATGATCGAAATAAGACGATCGCTTCATTCCTATTGCTTGCACACATGTGATGTGAGTTATGTCGACGACAACGAAAGAAAAAGAAAGAACGAACGTTGTACTTTAATCATTCCTTAGTCCTATATGAATCTCCGATATAACCTGTTGTCGTTTCATAAATTGATCACATTCTTACTAATTTGACTTTTTTTATTTGGTGTTCCTCTACAAATAATAGTAATTCAGAACCGACTATTCAGTAAATAGAAAAACTCGATGAATCAGCATGGAGTGTTAGTCTGCCTATAGACTGGTGATAAAAAGATCTCTTATTTCATGTACTTCTGTTGCACTGAAAAAACAAAATTGAGTGAATGAAAATTGCAGAAAAATTCAAACTCAAATTGAGATTTCCGAGTGTATCTTCTGTTTTTGAATTCTTGCTAGCTAACGTTAGAACTTTCATCAGTCAATTCTATTTTTTCAAGACAATAGAAGTGCATGAAATAAGAGACCTTTTTTCGCCAGTCTACATACGATTGCAGAAAAAAATAACTTCTAGTACTACTTAGCTTCTCTAAGTATGCTATACAGCTTTTCACAATATCAATGTCTGTATAATCACAACCAGCAAGGGATAACTTCCCTGACATAATATTGTTAAAAAGAAATAAGCTAGATCTATAATTGTCAAGTATTTTATTTCTTTTCCTTGTTTATTTTTTAAAAAGAAATAAATGTTATCTAGTTACGTATTGCCGAGTTAAGAAAAGAAACAAAAGCACAACACGTTTGACCACTGAATCACTAGTGAAAGGATAGAAAAAAAGCATTTATTTTGACTGCCGTAATGGTTGATATCTCAAAATTAATTTTATATAATAACATTTAAGGTACTAATACGAATAGATAAAAAACAAAAACAAAACAATATTTTTTCTACATTTCTTTCTTTCGTCATTCTTGTCACCTCGTTAAAAGTTAAGATAACAAAATAAAATAAGACTACCTCATTAATATAAAATGCAAAATAGTACAGATAGAAACGAGTTGTCAAAAACAACAGAATAAATTTAACAATTATGTCAGTACCAGAAACGAACAAGGTATAAATTTAGATCTTTTAATTTTTTAAAATCTATTTATATTGTTTTATCTATTTAAGCCGTCAATAATTTCAAATGTTTTAATTAATGGTTCAAACATCAATAATGATATTAGTAATAACATGATGCCAAAATCTATTATTGACGATGAATTTGATGGAGTTAAAGTTGAGGTATCATTTCAACAATTTTTAGTAAGACGTGGATGATATGCATGTTTTTTTTTAATGACTGGTTTCTTTTTGAACTCTCTTTACTTCATTATCAGTGGAGCATTGGAAAGAGCCCAAATGAAGACAGAAGTGTCTTTCTTAGCAAAAAGCCGTTGTGAATAATTTGAACGCAATTTCAATCTGTAGTTCGGTGCTATAGAAATCTGGCTGTTCTTTTCTATCTAACTTGGGTGCACATCGTCTGCTGGAATACTTATTCGATTGTTCAACGGTTAGCAAAAATAGAGAAATAGTTAGTTCTTCATCATCCTGATGAAAAGATATATTTTAAACAATTTTATTTTAGATCACGGATATTGATTCGTCTTATCCAACGACACTAAGTTTAATGCGTTGTAAACGACAAGTTCTTCGTCCATATCGACAACTCCTTTGCCTTGTAAGCATATAATGGGTGAGTTTCTTTTAGATTATTTCGACCTTTGAGAGAAAAAATAAAGTCCTATTTTTCATCAAGCTATGAAAAGATTTCTATCGTTCCTTACATGGTGTATGTATACTATATATTTGATTAAACACGGAGCGTACAAAGGTCAAATGAGGAACTATTACAAATTCAACATGTAACATTTGTTTCTGTTTCAGATTGGATGGCGACCGTTTTATGCTGATAGTTTGATGAGACCATCAATTACTATAAGAATTGTTAATATTATTTATCCAATATTCATTCTTTTGTTTCTACTATATTCTTATACGTATGAAATTGTTGTTTGTCAAGGAAAATTAAATGTTGTCACCGATACAGTTGTATGTAGGCCATCTTAACTATATTTATTGGGAGTATATGAAGTTGATCATAGATTATATATTTCAGACCACAACTACAACTCATACACCTGCAACAGTGACAACAGAGCGCCATATAAATCATACAATTATCATGCCATGGGATACAATTGGACCGGGAGAAGCAATTGATACTGCCCCACATACAAAATGTGGACACATTATATCAACTTATATTTTACCTGACATTTTACATTTGATATCGTTCATATTAGGATACATTTATTTTCGCGTTACAGAAGGTGAACAGTTATATTCATTAATGGAAAAAGTAAGTGAGTTTATACATTGTAGAAAGATGAATTGTAATATGAGCTTATATTGAAGGTTTTCATACACGCTGATCAAAACATCAGGCAATTTAGTCCAAATCGTGTTATTAAACGTTTGAGGTAAATTTTATTGAATTTCGATAATTTCGAAAATTAATATTTTATTATTTAGAGCATTTTTGATTATTGGATGTTTTTGGGTAGTAGCTGCAATGTCTTCCCATGCTTTGTTTATGATCGTTTATGGTGTCAATGGTCTAACTATATTCGAAAAAAAAGGATTAAAGTTAGTATTGACTAAGAAAAAGGTTTTTTTTGTGTATTCTTTCTAACTTCTCTTGCAGACAACCAGCCCAATGGATATTATTTGTTATTGAATTACTTGCACTTTTTATTTCAAACTGTATTCATTTGGCGGTGGTAATGAATTTTTCCACACATTGTGAAATGATCATTTTCTATTGTAAAGCCATTCGTACTAGATTAGAAGAAAAATCATTACATTTAGTTGAAGCGATGAAAGTAAGAGAATAAAACTTAGCTTTCTTACAACTTCAATTTAATTTGTTTTAAGCAAATTTTGGATATTCGATATGGTATTAGTCAGCTGAATGGTGCTGCATCAAAAATGATATCGGTTTTAATAGTTTTCTTTTTGCAGCGTATTGTTCTTGGTATGAAGATAATTGAAAGATGCTAATATTTACTATCTTAGTATATATTTTCATTCTTCATTCAGGTTTAGTCATATTAATTTTTAATCGAATCGATCAACCATTAGTTTGGACTTATAGAGCGATATATCCACTTGTTTGGATATGTATTCTCGGATTTTGTTTAGCACAAGTATGTGTAAAACTCATTTGAATATTCACGTTTTTATTTTAAGGATTCTATATTTTAGGCAGCACGTGTTACTGAAAAATGTGATAAATTCTATAAAATTGGCTTATCAATGAGAGTATATGGTTATCATACATCAACATCAAATGAATTAGATTCATTTATGCTATTTCTTTCCCAAGCTCAACTAAGGGTAACTAAATATCAGTTTTTTATTTCAAGAAACTTGGACTTTTTGATTAACTGAAATTAATTGAACTTTTAAAATAATTTGAACTTTGAAATAATTGAACTTTTTGAATTTTAACATCTTGTAGAGAACATTAATGTAAATAGACTAATATTGAAGTTTTTTTTATTTTTAGATGACTAAGATGTTAGATATTTATTTCTAATTTTTATGTTTTATCATTTTTAGGCCAAACTATTTGCATTAACAGTTCATCCCGGCAAAGTGATTGGTATTGTTGTTACATGTTCACTTTTAATTATCGTTCTTATTCAAACATCCGTAATAGCATCTCCCAATTTCTTTTTTTAATAAACAAAATTTTTTTTATTGTGTGTGTATTTTATATTTATGTTTTGTTTTTTTGTTAAGTATATCTGAATAGAGCAAGAATGATCAAATATGTAAAATGGAATAAAATCTTCTGAATATCGGTAAAGACAATCTATATCAGGACTCGAAGAAAATGTGAAAATAACGTCTCTCCGAGTTAGATTTGCTTCATACTATCTAGTAAATCATGTTAGGTAACTCAGATAGCAGTCTCGGTATTTTGATAATAACTTTCCCGTTCCACTATCTATAGTCCATTTTTGTTAACAGATTTGGCGTTCGTTTTCTGCAAAAAACGTATTGAGTTTTTCATTACAGAATGTAAAAGTAAAAGACTATAGTCCTTTCAAAAATAGAAGATAGTTTTATGGGAATAATTGAATAATCTTTGAATGGTCAACTTTACAAAAAAAGCTTTTTTATTTTCAATTTCATTATTTATATAAATATCGAAAATCTAGCTAGCCATTATGAAAATTTTAATAAGTTTTATCTTCTACATAAACTTATATTCTTTGTGTTATATTTAATAATCAGGTAAAGCTGAACTTTTATTCATATCAGTCTTTCATATGATATAGAGAAGGATGATGGTGTAAAGTGCTTAGTTGTTATGAGATGTTAAAACACACTTAGTATTGTTGAAACAGAAGAACATTTTGTGCTTTTCAGACGTATCAGATTCGGAGATTTTGTGTTCCTTGTTGAAGCAGAGCTTAGATCTTGAGCTCATGAACGGAATTGCGTGAATGTAAACGTTCGTTACGGAAGTAATAACAAACGTGGTAATTACTCAGCAGTGGCAGAATTCCTACATTTCAGACATTCTACAGAATTCTATAGAATTCTATCTTTTCGCTGTGAATTCTACAACAATTCATTCACAGCTGAAACATGAGAAGTCCGAGTTATTCTCAAAACAGAAATCTAGGAAATGTATAGAATTCTATAGAATTCTAGGTTAGTACTGTACGTAGAATTCTATAGAATTCTATAGAATTCTAGGTTAGTACTGTACGTAGAATTCTATAGAATTCTATAGAATTCTGGGTAAGCATAGATATATAATATATTGACCAAGTTTGAGTCAAGCGGAAATGTATAGAATTCTAGGTTAGTACTGTACGTAGAATTCTACGTTAGTACTGTACGTAGAATTCTATAGAATTCTAGGTAAGCATAGATATATA